TAGCAAATGCAATCTTGCTTGCCACCAGATTCAAACTCTGCACAATGATGCATAGAGGCACTCATTCATATATGGATACTTGAATGTAGCAGTCACCATCGTTCCAATAATAAAGTGGTTCCTGAATCATCGATGAGAAGAGAAGCTCAAGTAAAACAGTGTGCAGCGAAATAAGAAAGATCAAGTTTGGAGGGCTATGCAACCCAATCGTGAAGACAGCCATCGCACTAAGGAAGGGTATGAAGACACATCATCGCACACACATGTTCATCTTCGCACTGCACAATTTTTCATTTCTTTTATTCACTCACTCCTACATTTATTTGTTGTCTCTCATCTTCGAATAGTAGTCTGTTATACTATGGTCACCATTACGACAACAACAGATCTAACACAACAAATTTTCTCCTAATCGGCGCATCCTGTGGACTTCAGACCTCTCCATTCATTGGAGGGCTCTCGGGACGCATTGAGTATTTACGTTTACATTAGTCCAGTGCCAGTAAGCTAAATTCTATGAAACTTCCTTTCTTAAAAGCCAATCCTAATATGCAATGATAAGCATCACTTTAACTAAATAAATACTAATTCCAAAAGCGCTGTAGAACTGACCCTTTTATTGGGAGGCGAGTGTCAGTTTTTTGGCCACTGTCACGTTCTGTAGATGAAGACATCCTAAGCTTGGCAAGTGTGCCCCATTAGTGAAGTGTGCGTATTTCAAGTTGGGTGCCGTGCTCAAAAAGAGCCCACGGACCTAACTAACTGACCGCGAAAGGCATCGCCTTCCCCTTCTTCTATAGTAGCCTTTGCATTGTGTACTCAGGTGCCAAATGAGGCTCATGCAAGTGAGCTGTCTCCCACGGAAGCAGTCAGGAGGGAGTCGAACGACCGTGATGGCTAGGCTACAGCAAGTAATGCATTCTTCGTTTGTCTCCATTTTTTAAATGTAAAATCTTCACTAACGCTACCATTTTAAAAACTTTTGATTGCATTTACCAATACGCCTTGGTAAGACAAATTTGCTGTGCACACTGATGTTAATTTACCTTCAGAATTTGGCTGTGTAAATTATGGAGCTAATTTTACGCATTCAGATAAGGTCAAACAGAACACGAACTGGAGGTGAAAAGCATAGTGAAGAGAAGCGAAGAGCTAAGAGGCATTGTCAGAATTGACACAATTGCTGTGCTAAATGTGAAGTTGTGGATTAAATTCACCAAAGGTCGCTATTTTACACATCCATATTACCCTGACGACGAACTGAGAGCATTTTCTTGTTCTAGGCGTAAAGAATACCTTCTATTTTTATGTATTCAAGTTTTCTGGTATCTCACACTTATTTTCACCGATTGCACGATTTCGAAATCGTGCATTGAACGACACCACTGATGGTCAGGTCGTGAAGCCAATTCCCCCTGCCAATGACGTTAGTGCTGTTTGGCAAATTACTAGTTACATTTATTCAATGACGCAGGGAAAGCCGGAAATACAGATTGGCTAATGAACTGACGATACCAAAACGATGGAACAAGGAAATTCCGGTCCTTCATAGACCAATTGTAGTTCATTCTGGAGTAAAGACTTTTTCATTAGTCTAGACTTGTTAATCTTCTCATGAATCCTTGAGATGCCACACATAGCTGCTGTTTCACCCACCCACCTACAGATGGAAGTGCGTGCGATTTTTAAGGTCAGGACCAGGCGAATCATTTACAAGTGAAATGTGTTGAAATTCGTTCTCTGGCACTGTGATACATACTAGTTTGTTTAAGTGGACTTTTTGTAGGACAGAGGCGAGAACCAATTGGATCGCGAATCAAGGGCATAGTACCCTGTTCCACTGTATGCCCGTCAAGATGACATATGGTGAATTCAAAGACTTGGCTGTGGAGGACGTGACCTTTAAGGACGGCTTTAGACGGCGTAAAGTGATCAAGCGAACGCCTCTTAATCTAGAATTGCTAAAATTTTGGTTGCAGGGCTTCACACCGAAGGACAAGACACATCTACTATGATAAAATTAGCAGTACTATTGTATCGTTTGTACATTATTGAACAATAGAAAGGGCGATTTGTTATCGTGGCGCCCAAATGGACTACTTTGAAGCCGAATTGGCGATGCTTGGACAGGTTTACATGACCCAGCGACCAGGTTCACCGTAATCGGTACAAGGGCGGGGCCAATAATTTGTGCGTGGCAAAACCATTAGTAAACCAAATCGTTAACCCAAGCCTTTTTGAATATTCAAAACAGAACTTATTATGCGTGCATCAGGCAAGCACTTGGTTTGTCCATTTATGTGCAAGCGTGATAAGGTACACCATGTTGGATATCCGCTTAAGGTGCGTTACTATGGTAACAGAATACTGTCTTATCTGGCACTATGGTTAATATTTCATACGACGAAACCGCTAGTACTCATTCCGTGAATATACCGCCCCATTTAACACAAAATAGTTGACGTTCTTACGCTAAGGGAGTTTCAAGTAACACTAAATGGTGCCTTGGTGTTGGAGAATGTCCTGTCAACAGGGCAAATAGTAAGAAACTAAGCACTGCCATTTAGATCCAATATTGTGCCGCTAATTCTAGTCTTTGGTGGGACTAGGTCTTCTCTCCAATAAATGACGTTTTCCTTCAAGCACTTTAACTGGGGACTGTTGTCGAATTGATTGCTGCTTTTTTTAAATACCGCAAATTTAAGTCTAGCTGAACTCCATGCCAGAATAGATCTGTTCTAAAAGGTTAAAACAGGAGCTGCTGGACTCAAATTGAAGTGCGATTGCACAAGGCTCCTCAGAAGACCATGCATAAAAGTTGTCGCATAGTAAACCTCTAGATTTCGAAATATGAAAAAACCGGAACTCCAGGAAGAGAGCTATGTAGCAAAATTAGGTAAAGTGAGCATTGAAATTATAACGTTTCCAGACTTCCCACAAGGTGGAAGAAGACAGAAAGTTGTATTTAAAAAAATGTACGTTATTTAGAGAAAGTGGGTAAAGCCTGAGTCTCGCTCGAATACTGGCTCACACATACAAGGGCCAGGCAAATACCAAAGTAACCGTATTATACTTATACTGACACATTCCAGTAAACATCTTCCTGGCAAAAGTATAGCAGCTGAGACAAAGTGATTCTCTAACGAAACCGAAACCTGTACAACCAAAGTATTAGCTCTAAATTCTTCTGCTACAACTTAAAAATGAAAGCAGTTTTACTGACCGGGTCCATCCTCGGCAAGCGATTTTGTAGACACTAATAAAGCTGTCGTGTGCAGTTATAAATAAATCAAGAGCAATCATGTTTAGTAGCAGGCCAAAACTTACAAAAGGACGGATACAATAGTGTCTACAATAATCCCAAGACTTGAGCTATTCATGGACTTCAACAAATAAAGAGCATGTCAGAAGTATTCGACATTTACTCATCTACTGCTACCTTCAGTGACTAGCACACTTTTCCACAATAAAATTTATCATATTTAGTGGGCATACGTACGCAAAACAAGTGCGCAGTTGTTTGATTAATTCTTTAGCTCAGTAATTAGCACGCTAGTGTTTAAAGTTCTACATTGAAGCCAAGCTCAGCGATATGATGGAGCTACCAAATTACTTCCCAAGCGTTCACTGCCACCATTAACCCTGCTAACCTAAGTTCTATCAGGTGATTGCATTCTCAATTCAATAGCATTTGGGCAGAAACTTTTGCAACTTACTAACGCAAACTGCGCAGTTGAAATCATGATCAGTCGTCCACATCTTATTTTCGACCATGGGCGTGGTACATGTTAAGTGTTGAAAGTATGTAATCATTAAAGTCCAAATATCACAAGAACAGCGGAACGTGGCACATATTTTGAAGGACATAGGATCCCTTGATGTTCTATTGTCACTCGACACTAATGTGCTCCTTTTGATTTGTTTGTCATCACAATAACGCTTGGTCTATGTGACCGTTTGCTGTCTGGCGGTCACTTTTAGATTCGTCTGGTCCTTGTACGCATGGGCTGGTCTTCGGAACAAGATTAGGCTTAATCCCTTTGGTCTCCCTGGAATTCATGTATCCAGTTTTACTTACTGCCTTCTTCTACCCGATTGAGAGTCTCGGGACGCTACATTGATGGCAGAGAAAGGCAAACTCGACTTTTTTGACGACTTCCATCCGCTTATCTGCCGTTTGTGGCATGTCTATGGTGTGAACGACTGCACTTGGCTTCACATTATTCCCGTGTTCCACAGGCAAGCTATTAACAACTGAAGCGACACCGCCGTGAACCATCTGGAAAAGTTCCCTGTCGGAAATGCCACTAGAATTCTCCTTTTATACGGGACGGTATCTGCTCTTGTTTTCACAGTAACACATCCGTTTTAGAATATAGTTCCACCGTTTAGTTCTAGAAGCAGTTGATGCTCAGCAGACGTATGCGGCCTCGATTCTAGCTGTCAGACCGAACTCAACTCCAGGTCCAGTTGAAGGCGCTGATGGTAGCTGTTGACTGACACGGTTGGGTCGTGGGTGTTTTCTTGCAGCACCGAATGTTGCGATGCCTAGTGTGGGAGGTGTATAAGGAGGAGCGTCGAGGACGTCGCTCAAAAGAGGAGGGGCAGTGCGATACGCTGTCTATGTGACCACCTGATGTCTGGCGGTAACTTCAGGATTTGTCTGGCCCTTGTACACATACTTTGGACTTCGGGCCAAGCCCAGATTTAATCCTTCTGTTCTCCCTAGAATACATGTATTCAGATTCGCTTAACATCTTCTGCAATTACCATTGCTTAAGCAGATGGCAGTACGTCTAAGAATTAAACAATTGCATAACAGACTGTACCAAAGCTCCCATTAATGTTTTTAATTTATTTAAATTCTAAAGTTGCATTTTTAGGCAAAATTAGGCGAATGGGATGATTTAGAGAAGTAAAAAGCTTGAAAACAGATTAAAGACGTAGGTTTTGCAGGTCAATAACTATACCTACAAAGGTGTCACCATAGCCAGCACAAAATGACTCGCATTGCTATTCGCGCACGCATTGTGGATGTCGTAAGTGGTAGTCGTAACAGCTTAATGCTTCAGAACTTCTCATGATAGGTGGTTAGCTTTAGTTAAATTTGGTTGAGCTCGGAGTTTGACGCGGTTCTCATTTATTTCGCACAAGGTACGCTTTACTTGAACGTCCCCATCAAGTTATTGATGCCTGAGGCGAAAGTAACCTAGCGTTTTACGATCCAAATACCTGGTTCGTTGCTTGCTAATCATGTGGGTCAGTGTGAGGTAGTCGTGTGCATTATCCGCGCTCAATTGCAACCTCCAATTTTCACCACGCTTCTCCCTTCTTATTTTTGTGTTAGTTTCTGAATTGGTATCCGTATGTTAAGTATTGTTCATTACTCCTCTAACCGGGCTTACTTCTTGCATTCACTACCCTAATCATCTTTAATACTTTGTTTTTTGCCTAATTTATGCGGTATTTCACAAGATCACTAACAGAGGTCATAGTACCATTCTCGCGAGCGGGTAGTATTAAGGTTAAGTTTCATTTGGGCTGCGCGTTACGTCAGTACTCCGTCGTTAGTAAGTTCTTCCCAGTATCCATGCCATTTCGGATGGTAGTTTCTCCGCAAAATGTACAAGTCCGTTCTATAATGGCATTAGGCGTCCGCTACGTCTGGGATATTAGGAGACCTAAGGACCTTCTAAAGAAATGTAATAATTGAAATAAAAGCAAGGAAGAGATTATAAATAGTTGTTGTTTCAGCAAGTCTACCTTAAACTTCACAAGTGCCGTCGTCTTAAGTGATGCAGTAGATGCGAATTAAACTCATGAAACAATCCATTTAGGTCACTCCCTTTGTCTACTTTCATTATGTGCTTATTCTAGGTGATTCGATTACCTAAATAGTCAAAACATTGTCTTTGATTCGGGCTCATAGAAAAGGAAATTCAGCTATTGGCAGTGATTTTTAGAGGCGAATCTGCTCCGTAATGGTGCATACTTTCAGTCGTACCTTTTCTCCTTTCAATGGATTTTCTCAATTGGATTTTTTGTCTCCGGATTATGCCGTTCCTCTCTCATCAACTCACAATGTCTTAATTGTACAGCCGGGTGCGTTACTCCATGATTTTGTACTATTCTTCGCTGAAAATTTCTGGTTCAGTACGGTAAACAAAGTTGCATATTTTTTCTAGCTGTACAGAACGCCAAACTTCGCCGTCAACTTGATCTAAATTCCAGCTTGGCTGATGCTGTGACGTTGAGTCAAATGGTGAAAGGTCCTAACGAGCAGGAGGCGCGATCCTTGGTAGATTCACTGAGTGGATGGACGGTGGAGGATGTGGTGCGTGAGAACCAGCTTGTAATTGCTGTGTATAACTTTCATTTAGGTTTACGTGAACGTGCGATCTGAAGAGATACGTAACAACCAGTTCTTCTCCAAGGGGGTGTGGCAAGACCTCACTGTCCTCGTGAAGCGTCGTTTAATGCCATCGTCTAGCGAATCCCACCATCCCATCACTGCTGTTTTCATAAACTGGCAACAGCTCAGGGTTGGTCAGCTCGTCGAAATGCAAAACGCCTGGCAGTGCCCCGTTTTTGATCGGTATGTGAACGTTCATGTGCTGGGCTCATAGTGCAGCTTTAAGGTACAGAGTGCGTAATAATATTCAAGGTTTTATTCCCAGCATAAATCCGCAAACAATACCTATTGTTCTATGGTATTTACCGCATTGGCAGTTTCCGCTTGACTTCCCCTCCAGCCTTTTTCGCTGTGCCATTCCTTAGAATTTGTTATTTCCTTTTGCTACACAATAATTCTCCTAGTAATTAATTCCTTCCTACATTGCCTTCATTTCGGACACGTAACTGACATTTTAATCACTGATTGAATGCTACTGGTTTTTTATCAAATGTTACTCAACCCATTTCAGGGTCTCTTTGTTGAATCTGTATAACCTCTAAATTACTTATGCTGTTATGCATTAGTTAGTTTCTTTTTGACCATTGGAGGGCCTCTATACAACATTTCCATTGCATAAAGGAAAACACTAAACACTGTTGGAGTGAGAATCGGTCGTATTCGGGGCAAAAGGATATTCACAAATCGAAGAAGCTAGTCCTGCAGAATGTCGGTAGATGTTCTACTTTCGCCGGTACTAAAGCCGTGTATTTTTGATAAGTTATCTCTCACTTTGGTAAAAGTCGACTTGAGTTACAGAGCTATTGGAACTGATGGTTAGGACCAAGATAGCCGTCTATGTGAACTGAATCACACGTGTTTGAGGCAGGATTTTAGGTATACGCTGGTGGTCCAGCTCTTCCTGCTGCGTGCGCGGTCTCGCGAGGCTCGGGCACAAGCGCAGTTGGCTGAGCTCAGCTTTGTGCGCAGTCGCCTCGCAGCTGACGCTATCACAGCCTCGGCTGGCTTCCCCTCAAGGATGCGTAACTTTGATCACCTCCGGCGAGTCCTCGATGTAAGTCTGTTCTAGACTCAGAGCTACAGGGAAACGTCGAATCTGGCAGAGCTTCTAGTCTAGTCAACATTAACTGGCGTAATTTTTGTGAGCAATCTTTTTTGTAAACACTCTTGTTTTCAATACCTATCATTCCGATATCATTATCACCAATAGTTTTAAGTCATTTTAAAGCACTTGGTGGCAGAACCATTATATTTTACCTGAAGGCGCAGGAGCGCAAACTGATAGCAGTACTGGCGGAGGAGGAAAGGCGAAAAAACAGCCGTAGAACAAAACGTCGCAAAAGGACGTTCGATCGACTTCCTGTGGTAGCAGTCATAGGATACACGAACGCTGGTATGTGTTAGTTCATTCCACTCCTATTTTAAAGTAACCTATTAGCATCGCTTTATTCTGCTGAGTTTAGGAAAGACTAGTTTAATCCGCGTTCTTTCGGGATGTTCAAGGATGATGGCCTCTCCACGAGTATTTGCAACTCTCGATGTAACCCACCACTCTGCTCGCCTTCCCACGCCCACTGACGTTCGAAGCTATGGCGTTGGGGTTCCTGGGCTTCGATTTCTCTTGCTGGACACCATCGGCTTCATGGCTGATCTCCCTAGGGACCTCATCGCAGCTTTTCGAGCCACTGTTATTGAATGTCTCGATGCTGTTAGTCTGTTTTTTCTTTCATTTCTTACCAGTTGCTCGTATCGCAAGTAGATTGATTACGTTTGAAATGATGAAATGTGTGCCAGGTGTTTTTGATCCCTGAGGCAGCTGCTCTTTTTAACTGACAAGTTCGTCCAACAAACTTGCTGAAAGGTGTATCGCTTTCGGAGAATTGAAGGTTTGGTGTTTAGGGGTCACTATTCACGAATTATGATCGTGAAAGTAAAACTTTTGTACAGGTAAAATCATTGTATGGATAGCATTTTCGCATGACAATTTGGTGTCTAAGCACCACTTATTTCTTAACATTTCAAAACGGTTTTACGGTAAGACTTTTGTATCACTGGCCTTTTTAGAAAGCTGGGACAGAGGCCTTATTTTACTCATTGTATCGTTAAGAATAAATGCTCTGAAACTTATCCAGAGTTTACTGCACACCCTTTTCGTGGAGTTCCTCTGGCCGCTGTTTCGGTTCTGAGTGGAGTCTCAACGTGCCATCTTCTATGCTTTAGGAGATTATCCTCCACATAATTGACGCTAGTCAACCAAACTGGCAGAAGTTTGCATCCTACATCGAATGCGTGCTTAGAGATGGGGGGATCCATACCCGACGTCTTGGCGACCCGACAACGGCAACGGACAAACAAGATTGCACCTCTCCCTTCCTCATTCGTGTTGGCAATAAGGTGGATTTAGGGTGAGGAAATTTCCATGCTCTTTGACTTCTTCCTCGTTTATTCAGCTTGCAGTACATATATAAAAGTACTTTTAGTAAAATCTTAAATACTTTCCAGCGTACTCTTCTACAACCGTATCCTGTGATTCCCGGATTCTCTCTTGATTTGGCTTTTTAGCACCTTTACTGATTGCTCGTTGAAGTCTCCCATGATGCAACTCGACGTGAAAGTGTCTTGCATTGATAAGACTGGGATCGTTGAACTCGGTAAACTTATCGAATCCTGCCTCGTTTCTGGCTTTGGGTGGTTCAAGAGAAAACTTCGTATGCCCCAGGGCAGCGAAATCCTAAGGTATTTGCCATTATTTCATGTTCCGTTTTAGTTTTATAGAATCAATATTCTCTAAAGTATACAGGATTCGACTTAGTGCTAGAAGACATGAACCTCTTTATTTTAGATGGCTTTATGCTAACGCGATGGTAGTGCGAGTGTCAGGTTGTCCCGAGGATGTTGAGAAAGTAATCTGTGAGGTGATCTTTAACGAGGCCATTTGGAATCGTTTTAAGTCACAATTCGCATCCTCTTACAGCAATTAACTTCCATTTGACATGATCTACTTGTACATTTCTTTCTGCTACTCCAACTTTAATATTGTGTTCTTTTGTACAGAAGGGGTATGCCGACGAACAAGTTGATATGGAATCCTCTGACAATACAAGATATCGTTTAATACCTTTAAAAATCGCTGCCTCAACTTATTCACGCCCAGCTCTATTGTTCCGTCGGTCCGTTGAACTGTATTCAAATAGCGTAATAAAACCCATTAGATGCCGATGATAGCACTGAGGGCATGGTTGCAGCTTAAAATCACTTTTGTCAGCTGACTCGCGGACATGTCAGATTTGTTCTCACCTCAGAATATTGATTGCGCTGCAGCTAGCCGGAAGCAATTGCACTGACCCAAAAAATGCCAGCCTTTAAACGTGTGCGGAGTTTAAATAGTAGTCTCGAGAGGAATGCTGGTGTATCCATGGTCAAGACGCGGTTCTACCACAAGGCAATTGAACTGGAGAAGACGACTAATTTTACACGGATAGAAATAGAGGGACTGCTGCGTATATACGACAAAATTGTCGTAAAGTATCGTTCCCCCATCAATCGAACTGTGTTTAACGACATTCTCTTCAATTTCTTCGACTTCACCAATGAGGCAATGATGGAAAGGATTTTTCGAGCTCTAACTCAATCTTCCACCAAAACTACACTTTCTCGCGACGATTGGATTTACGCATTGAACATATTTTTGCGCGGCTCCTTCGTACAAGTGACGAACTTCGCCTTCACCGTCTACGATCACCACCAACGTGGCCACTTGATAAAGGAGGACATACAGTTCTTTCTGCGAGACGTACTTACGGCAAAGCTGCCAGAGGAGGATGCAGAAGAGTTGAAGTCCGATATGGTTGACATGGTGATCGCCCTCTTTGATAAGGACAAAGATGGAGTAATAAGTAGGAAGGATTTTGTAACCTCAGTATTGTCGGAACCTCTTCTTATAGAGGTGCTAGGAGAGTGCCTACCAACGAACAAATCTATTCTGGCTCTTGAGTCGCTAATTAAACAGACCAACAGACGAGGCCAGCCATCCGAATGATGTATGCTCAAAGTTTGTTTCATGGCCTTGTAACGAGTTGATTGTGGTTCCCGATAGCAAATTGAAAATAAGGGCTTTACCAGGTCTCCTGCCATGGGCTCTCTAGGGGCAACCAATAATAAATAGGACTTTAGTAGAGCTCATTATTCTGGTGACACTCATCAGTCCGGGAGGGTCACTTCGTGAGTAAAATGAGACCTCATCCCAACTACGATGCTGCTGGTATAGGCTTAAATTTTGAAAAGTGTAGGCTTACTTCTAAACTTGGTCACCTCGATGAAGCACATCAATCAACTTAATTGTAGTGGCTATGTATGGGTTCAAAGTCGTGAAATGTGAATACAATCCACAAAACCACGATAAAACGACAGAAACTATTCCTGTTGAAGATCTCAATTCCAGCTCATCGAACCACAACTTCTTCCAAATCAGTTTCAAATGAACATTTATTCGATGCAACACATTAACGTTACTTAAGTGAGTTGTTCGACAAGCGCAAATCATATCATAAGGCGCGACCTCTAAAGTCAGTTTTTCTGCACCGAGAATTCGTATCGCGTCTTCTGCACATAACACACTCCAGTCGGTGTGACGAACTGCTTCGGGAAATTCGATCGATTGACTGCATCCGGGAAGCCTTGCGCCTCCAAGCACAGACCCGCGTGCGGCGGATAGCTGTACATATCTTTTCCTACCGGATCGGTCTTAGGGTCTAGGTGGTTGCCTGTGTAAAACTGCACTCCCAGTTGGTCAGTGAACAGTTCCAACCGGCGACAAGAATTCGGCTCTATTACGATAGCTTTTGTCTCATCTGCGGGCAAATCTCTAAACACGTAGTACTCATCGAATCCTTGTTGTGGTGGTGGGTGAATCTTGCGAAGTCCCTCCTTTAGACACGTCAATTGATTAAGATCAGTGCCATCAACGCGACCAACTTTAACTAGTCTACCCGTGGGAATGTGTTCTGTGTCGCACTCACACATTTTATCGGCATGAATGCAAACTAGATGGCGGTCGAGGGCGTCGGGTCCTGCTCGGTGACCTGCTAGGTTGAAGTACGTATGATTTGTTAAATTAATGGGGCAGATTCCATCGGTGATGTTCGCAAAGTAGTCGATACTTAGGTTCACACGTTGATCTTCCTCGTTCACGCTCAGACGGTAAGTCACGTAAACAGTGAGATTGCCTGGAAATCCATCTTCACCGTCGACTGATGTGACCTTGAGCCTCACAGTGTCTTTCTTCACCTCAACGATATCCCAGAGGCGAAACGTTAGTCCCGTACTGAAAACACGGAAATTTAAACTAGCGTCTTTCTATCTATGGCATTCAGTAGCTAAATCGGGTGATGAAACAAAATGAGTGCTCCCATTGACACCTATTTATCCTTAGGTAAATTAAACCATTGTAAAACTCTGAGCAACTGCCCTATGAATAAAGCATCAGAAGTGGAAATGCATTTTGCGCAAGACTGACACAAACATACTTTCCTCCGTGAAGGCAATGCTTTTTCTGTTGATTCTTCGGTAGCTTGTAGGCAGTGGATATTGAAGGATCTAACTCAATTGGAATGGTGAATTTGGCGTTGCTGACACGACCAGCAACCCTGCCAACAATGACGCCGTGGTATGCGGGATTTCTCTCGTAGCTTGCAATATCTGAATAACCAAGAACAACGTCAGCCACACTGAGATTGGACTTTCTGCGTCCACCAGTGTCGGTGAAACCGGGGATCCAGAGCTGCTGGATGGCTGCGCCGTAGCTAAGAATGGTTAAACGAACCTTAGTCCACACTTCAGCATCCGGTCCCATGGAGAGTTTCTCGCTCAATAGTGGGCTTATGGTTATACGTTTTGCTGGAGCACCTCGACTTGTCCTACCCCAATCTTCCATCGTTGTGGCGGCTTCGTCTAACACCAAACCGCTGGCTTCCTGCACGCACGCAGCCAATCATGAGCTGACAACTTCTCGATTGGTTTAATTTTTCAAGCATTGTTTACTGCAATTGTCGCTGAAAGTTCATTGTTTGTTTACACAGGCTCATAGGCATTGCGACTCTTCTGGTTGATGAATGTCGAGGTGGAAACAGTACAGCTACTTATTAGCAGTTTCTCGCAAGTTGTGATGTACCATGGAGATGGTGTGACTGGAAATCCAACAGAATATCTGGACGGAGTCTGTCCTGCTAACCTCATCGAGGAAAGGGTATAAATAGCACAATGGAATCTCGCAACTACACAGTAAGACCGGAATTTTGGCTAAGGTAGGTGAACCGGGAAAGCTGATCTTGTGGTAGTAACTGTATCCCGTTTAAATACCGGCGGGGCGCCTTCTTCACTCCACAGTCTTATCGAAGAAGGAGGCAAAAGTTTGCTTATAGCACACACGAACAGTGTAGAAATGAATCCACGTTCCTGGTGACCAGATTCTGCATACTAACACGAACCGCCATACGCGAACGGCCAGTGTCATAGCTAGAGATGTACTGCAATCATCTAGTAATTGTTAATGACGCCGCGACTATCCATCAGGAGCAGCATTATGGCTAGCTCAAACGGGCAGTCCCGCTAACCTCTCTTCCCTTCGTTATGAGTCTGGTTAAAACGGCCCATCAAATCACTTAACTAGACCAAACCACTTAAGCATTCACCAAATCTGTAATGTATTAATTTACCGACTTAGAGACTCAACATAGGCTTTTAGTAGCAAGCGAACATCTTTCCTTGATCAAAGTATTGATTTGCGGACAGATTTGATAATACACATTCGATAAGGAGCCCCTCTTTTATATTTAAAATAAATTAAACAAGATGGAGGTATTCAATAATAGAATCGGAAGGTCTAGCTTTGTTATTTTCACAAAAGGATACTCGAGACGTGAGGACAACGAAGACACTACCAACACTGTCATTGACAGCAGTGCAAGAAAGATCCCCAAGACTTTAGCCCATAAAACCGGGATGGTACCTCATCGCTGTACATGTATTGTGACGCCCACTAACTTGGTAGCTTTAAGCGCATCCACCGTGGATATCTCGGAATCGATCATATGGTTCCAGACAAATTATTACTTCCACGAAATATGCGAGAGAAACGGCCGAAACGATTCAACAACGTCTATTTTTACGGATTGAAGCTAGATTAAGTTGAACAATTAGGGCCCCATCATCAGCCATCCCTTGCACCTTTTTAGACCTATCCGTAATGTGCGCAAAAAGCCCATTCTACTTTGCACAAGCAAAATTGGGATTGCGTCCTCAAAACCCAAAAAAGGTGAACACCAGGTTTGCCTATAATTTTATTAGCAGACTCCATCCATAATCTTATCGAAATAATGAAGCAACAAAATCTAATAATCTCACAGCAGAGCAGCGTTAGCGTCAATTCGTTAATCGTACAAACGCGTGTACAACTCTCACTTCACTCTGAAGCCTAGTGACTGATATTTGAAGTAACTTCACTTAAGTTACTAAGTATCACGATAGCTCGGCAAGAAATGCACAGCTCAATGCTGCTTTTGAGATAAACCTGTAAGACCTTAAAAAATGCAAGAAAAAGAAAAAAAAAACGTATTCAATAAAGGACGAAACATTTAAAGTCTAATGCGCACACAGCATCAAGGGAGAGTTGAACGCAGATCACAAGTTAATTGAAGTTCACTTTGACATTGTAATTCTCCACGTTTTCTTCATGATTGGCGTTCGTAGCCCTCTCGTCTCCAAACTAATGGCAAAGAAGGTGCTCACAGGTGTAATAAGATAAAAATTTGACATCAATCCACTGTTCTGTGTTTCCGATGCATACTAAACAAGCATACGTTGAGTACTGATAGTTCACCGTTCATGTAAACTCACCGATATGATTAAAGCCAGAGTGTCATCATCGAGCGCCCTAATAGCAGCTTTAAGAATCACTGCCTGTCTCTTGTTAGCTGGGAGAAGCCTTAGAACTGATTGCAGTTTTGGTGAATTTATAGCCTCTTGAAAGAGGCTGACGGTTTTCGCAGATTCTGCAACATCGATATCATGAGGAGTTTCCCCGAGTAGTGAAATTTCATCAAACGAAAGTTTTATTGGCACCTTCTTTGAATAATCCGAACTAATTAAGGCGGAGACGTACATCTCAAGATGGATAATTTTGATTGCATTTTCTGAACACATAAAAAACAACTAGAGAGTACATTTTCATTATATTCGCGCCTTTAAACGTCAATAAGGTATGAGCATCACAAAAGTCAGAGATAAACGACTTTAGAGCAATTAATTTGCAGTCGATAAGTTGTAAATAAGAAAAATAAGAAGTGAACCCACTTGAAAGAAAAATGGTAGAGTTGAGAATGTTGAGCATCGCTCTTTCAACAGCCACCTGAGAGGACTGATAGAATGCGTAGAACTCCGGGCTTCCAGAAAATGGACGATATAGCCTCCGAGGATGGTGATGTTGTATGGCTAAGCGTACTTCAACGAGGCCTCTTACAGCTGAAAAGGCGAGTTGAACTCAACACGAAGTCACCGATGCTTACATGTTAATTGCACAAGACCGTGAAGAAGATTCAGGAAACCATTCAACATTGACACCGTCTTCGGTCGCTGTCCCGCCCCAAATGAGTTCTCAAAAGAACTTCTCATACGCTGGGTCATTCAAAGGAGGTAAGCATGATTTAAAAAATTATCAACCAAGAGATCAGGAACTTACATCTAACAGGAGACATGCAATTTCCAGAGTTTGATTGTACACTCGCAATTTATTTGCAGAGATTGCGTCTGAAAAGAAAGACTAGAGAAATGCCCCGAACAAAAATAACACCCAATTCCGATTTTGGTAGAGTAAGGTGATTAATAGCATTTAGGAAACGACTAACATGAATGTTTCATAAAACAGAGTGCAAGGAGTTTTGACAACACCCAATGCATGCCACCTTTTACTCCGAAGTTTTGACTATCCAATTCATGAGATATCTTGGAATCCAGCATATTTTTAAACAATCGAACCAAAGAATCTAAAATCAAATAGACGTTAGATGTCGCCAAACCGGAATTCAGTTCATCAGAGTTGACCGCAATGGATGCCGGCTGTAGAAATGACACATCGATAAAGGTATTATTTATTGAATCAAAATTGTTCTCGAGCATCTTGAGAAAAGTCACGCACTGCCTTCGAAGTTTCCTGGCTGCATGCAAATGTCTCATTTCCAAACGTTTCTACGGTAAAAAAATGCTTCCTATCATAGATAATCCAAATGTCATACTTCCAGAATCTTGGATAAAGGGGTTCATTCCAAAACCTTATCGATGGCATAATACACTTGAAATCTCCATTGTAAAATATCGTGAATCTAACTCACACGATACGTTCTATGGGCGAGCAACACTCTCTCTTGTAATAAACGACGACGAACAGATAAGTGCGGCAAAATATTTAGGAAGGATCTTTCCTCCTCCAGTCGCCTGTGCTGTAAAATCTCCTGCTTTTGAACTAAAGCGTGACAAAAACGTCCATTTTACCTTCCAAAAATTTACGATAGGATTCATCAGATAGAGAAGGAGAACATATAATGTCACTTGGCTTCATATCCTGCCGAGGGGTCAGAGCAGGGACGATGCATAAGTCGGATGAAGCAACACGCACAACATAACTGCAAGTGGCCACTTCCAAGACTTCAATAATTGTCGGCGTCGGGGAGTAATACTGGCAAAAGAACTGTACCTCTGTGCTTCGAGGTTTCCCTGTAACATCACAAATGGACCCTCGGTCGTAAAATTGACTGTGATACCTATTGCGAACTTGCAGATCCTAGGAAATAACAATATTTTGGTACACCCACGGACTTTTCAGCCTGATCCCAGTCGAAGTCTTTCGCAAAAGACCCCAGAGAAGTGGAAACCAAAACAACATCTTTGTCCTTATGATACTGAAGTATTTCTCTTCCTATACATAATTGGTAAGTCCACCAGCCAGCAAACTACCAAAGTAACGGGAAAAATGTAACTCACCCAACTAAGGCAGTTAGTCATATTCCACGACGAAAAAACACTATGGATGATACCGGACGTATCCTTCGAGATCATAACTGGATATTCGTTTTGTTTTGTTGCATTTGGTACAACACAACTGAATTGTTGACCAGTGACGGACACAACTTCAAGGTGATCCCCTCGAACCTACAGCTGTAATGTAAGATAATTAGATAACCTCAGATAATTTAACCGACTCCTTTTTTATTTTAATATTGTAAATTGGCAAGTCATTGTCTGTCGAAGCAGATCCACACAGGCACGCAAGAGCGAAAATGACGCACAAGATCTCCATTACGGGAAAGTGTGCTGCTTGAACGACATCAGCATCCAATGAGCGTATCAACCATGAGCCTAAGATTGAAATACTTCTGCATAAAATCCTGTTCAAATTCAAATTAAGGACCTTAATACTTATGAAAAATCTACAAATTTGGAAAATTCAGATTGATTTTTAGGACATCGGCATTGTGAAAAATGGAAAGTTCTGCCTGGCAGAGAGAAGTAGGTCCGATATTACACCCAGTGGTACGCAAAATAAGCACAACGCTTTCTTCACTCCTATTGCTACGCTGTTTTATTCTTCTTTTACTTTCAGCCTTCATGTATCCTAATGGGGCTCAATGAATCGTCTCTAGTTTCCAAAATACTTTAAAGTGAAAATGGGAACACATCAAAAGAGAAAGGAACGATAAGCCACCTTTAGCCACAGGGTACTTATGGTCTTTCTCCAAATAAGAAGTAAACTAATCAATTCTGCCATAAAGTTAAAAATTTAGTGGAAACATTTCAATTCAAGCACGAATCTTGCAACTATACCACACAGTAAGAACAAATTAAACTGCCTTCGAACATTGTTTGCCATGTGTGAAGTTAGATATACGGAGGGGCATAAAATTTAGCAATATGTTTAAATGTTTCGTCCACAATATACTGATTTCAAAGTTCGGGCGCACGTTTGTCGCTTATGGAGGAAGAGCTCCGAAGGCACTTAGAGCTATCGTAAGTCCACTCCACATTACTGATTCTGATTCGCTTTTTTGTGTATCGCTTCTACTTTTGACGTTGTTTTGCAAGCTTATTTCACTTCTGACACCGCTGCAAATCATCTTCCTATTCTCATACAATTTTCATTGAACTGACTGCCTGACTATGAGCCACAGTTCATTTTTCATAATTATTAGACTCCTAACTAGTTCACACCACGGCCAAGCTGTTAATGCATTGTTACCACAGTCTCTGTAGCAAATTACCTGACCATTACTAGGCTTGCTCAAGGAAGAAATGCAGCTTTGCAGTGTTTTGACGCCTCTGGTATTCCCCTTGTAACGGTGGGCAGGTGTTCTCCTCTCGCATCCAATATCTTGTCTTCAATATACAGACACGCGCAGCTTGTCACTTACTCTGAGGGAGAAAAACCGCCGGTAGTTATTTTCGAGCGGGAGAAGAAGTTTGTTCATTTATAATCGTGATGTTGGTTTTAGCCGAATTTTGATGGCGCAGTCTGGGGGCTACATAACCGCCGTCCACAGGACAAACATCACCTGACGTCCGCCCCTTTTCTTACAAGGCTGCTTATCATCCTTTTGTGTCTGTTGCCCTATTTACTCACGAGCGTTGCAATTGAACTTGTCACTGACCTTAACTTTTTGGATTCTGTATTATTGGGTCCGCACTGGAACTTCACACTTAGAGTCTTTTTGATCCTGCTAGTTTGAGTGCCTCGTCTAGCTCATCCCTCGTAAACTTTTCTCTTTGCTGCTCTACCTTATCGCCGTATGGTGTGGAGCCTGGATTTTGACACCGTCCCAGGTTCCTAATAAATCTAAATACGTCAAAAACTTGCGTAAATTACTGCAATGACGAACAATTTTTTTAGAAGGATTTGACCTTGTGAACCTCTTTGGGATCTGTGTGGCTGGAAGCGTTGTTTCGCCACAAATTTAGGCTTACAGACACGTTGATTAGACAACAGGAACCCGCTGCGGGAATTTTGGAGTGTTTTTGATGGTAGAAGCCCGGGCCTTTATGGACGAGCTGGTGCTCGGTTTTTAGCAACTAAAGCCGTTTTGATGTTTTCGAAGGGATTGAGGAGCTTGCCGCTCAACCACACGTAAGGAGTGATATTTGAGCACAAAGCCATTTAAAGAATGGGATAACTATCGCCGAAAATGGTAACAGTGGAGAGCGGGAGGTTTCTACTCATATTTCTGGTGCTTGTGAGTCACACTGGCATTTGTGTCGGTGTTGGAAGGCTTCTTAGATCGGCGAGGAGATTCGACACTGACGTCGGCAACGACAAGAGAAGTGGAACCATGGGTACTGGCTTCATTGGGGCATCGTCGGTGCTGCAATGGTGGCGACAGTGGTGCCATGCAGAGGAGGTAGCCATGATCGGGGCCAGTACCGCTGCCCTGTTCCCTCTCTGGCACCATACCGTTGTTGTCTTCACTGCTCGTCACTACAATGCAACCACTACCCACCGCCGGGGTACTTTCTTCTTGAGGCCAGCGCCCCATTGTCTGGTGCACCAGGCGAATGTGTCGGTCTAAGTTGAAGCTGCCAGCAACCAAAGACAAACACGTGCTAGTGGTACTGCTTAATGGTACGGGAGTATAAAGGCAGATCTCTACTCGGATAAATGTGGGACGCAAGCTGCACCATAAAACGTTTTGCAGGTTATGCATTCCCTAGTGTTGGTGATAAAGCTTGGCCATTCTAAACACGTCGGCATAAAAGAGCAGTGTTCATCAAAGGATATTAATATGAAGCAATTCAACGACTCAGCAACAAATGCCCCTCCGATGTAGAGGTGTACAAGAGGTGAGAAAAATAGACACGCATGTCAACAATAAGTCAACATCTACATTATGAATTTACTGGTTACTGATGCGTTTCGAGCAGATGGGACAGGAGACAGAGTCGCTCTGATTGTGAACACGCTGAAAGTGGGTCGTCATGTTGCCTTTTGTGCTGAATGTTGTACCTGGCAAAAATCCGAGCTGAGCCTTACTTTACGGAGTCAAATTCACGCTTGGACATACAATAGTAATAGCTTTTTAACACACTTCGTTGGCTTTGAGTCAATCTACAGCGGATTACACAAGGAACGGTTACAGCACTCGAAGCGAAACCATATCAATAAGGCGGAAAAGAGAGCATGGATACTGGCACTTTGGTAGGTATAACGGAAGCAGCTAGGACTCTAAATGGAATTAAGATATGCAGAAAGTTTTGCCTTCAACCCTTTCTACGATTAATGGGGGGCCATTATTCGTGCATCTGCCGTTTCACAAATGAGTGGAAAGTCGTGAACACAAGGCGAATGTACGTAGTCACGGCAGAGGGAAATTGAATACAATTACCTAATTTTGGCAGGACAATCATAAAAATAATTATAACACAGTTGGGCCAAAAATACATAATTAATTTGGACGACTTACGACACTCGGGACAAACAAATCTGTACTTGTTGTGAACGTTTTTCAAGTGCTGCTGGTACTGAGCAGCACTGTTGAACCCCAAACTACAAGACTGAAGGTAAAGAGGTAAATGTAAGTCAGTTTGCAAGTGGTTTAAAGTGGCGGAAGCTAATACAGTGTCACGAAGTATATTAATTTCTAAAAAAATAGGTCATTTGAAAGGTGCGAAGGCCATTTCCGGAGGTGATGATACAACATGCCTCTGGTACATAAATAGCGTAAACATTTTCATATGGAGGTAAAAGGGCATGTCAGGTGATCCGAAAGCAGCTAAAGGCCAAGGTTTAGAATTGTAGATGACGGACACAGGTGAGTAAATATAAATACATTTTCCCTCAAACTATTTCGTGTGATTATGGTAAAAGATGGAGTGAAAGCATCGATAAAAAGACAGCTACCGACAAGAACCGAAAACCTCATGCTTCTTCATCCGAATATGTATAATTAAGCTGAAGCAGAATTGTTAGATTCTAAACGTGGGTGTTAGTGAAATGGCTAACGGAGCATGTGCTTATGCGCATTAATATGTCACCACGGTTGGTAGACTAACAATGCTCTGCATAAGGAACACTACACACCACCGAAATGCACTTCAGATGCGAAATTTGAACATTTGGAGCAATTTAATTTAAATAAAGGG